TCTCTGACAGTGTGGTCACCAAAAAGTGCTTTAGGGAGAAGTCTCATAAGGTGAAATTATGCAATCTCAGAAAGTGAGGGGTGTCAGGAAATGAGAATCATTCTAGGAACATTACAGGAATCACAAGCAAAACATTACAGGGGTAATGGTTTTGAGCACTGTGCACGATGACTGCCTGACTTCTTTTTTTTTTCTCCTCTCTGTGTAGAACTGGAATAATCTGAAACCTGGGTTTATCGTGTTCAAAATACTGTTTCCTTGGAAACATTCCATAAAATTAAACTTGTTTTCAGTTTGAAATGAAAGACTCAAACTGTCTGTGGCATATTTTGAAACATTAAAATAGAGATAAATTTACCAGCTCATTTCTTATTATGATTGTGCAGACAATAAGGATCTTGGATTAGCATATTGCTACAAAATTTTAATGTGGAGTAACTATATTAAAAATGAAATTCAGATAGCTTTTTAGAGTACTGTGTTTCTGACCTTATAGAGTCAGTGAAGACAGTGTAAGAGAATTTTTCAGACTTCCTCTGCCCTTGCAAGTCAGTTGTGCAAGCCATTTGGAAAATCATTTCGTGTCAAAATTCCTACAGATGTTGCAGTCTTTTCTACTTGTACACTTTTCTAAGATACAAACGTGAAAGTAAAACTGCACCTGTTGTATAGCCTACATTTTTTTTAATTTCAGCGTTAATCCTGCTTTTCTTAGTAGTCAGTACATTTGAAACATTAGGATGTTTTCAGTGGCCTTATTTATGGGTGTAAACATGTGTTGGTGCTTGGACTTAGGCTCCTTACAGATATTACAGTAACTTAGGTTTTAACACCATATGGTTGAAGTTGCTTTCTTTAAATGGGTAGCATGTGGGTGATAAGATACCAGGTTGATTATTTACTTTCTTTATCGTCATCAAAAGAGCTTGGATTTTGATATAGCAGTTCTTCAGGTTATACTGTCGTTTGTAGAACATGTAGGCTCAGTGAGTCAGAAGGAATTTGACCCTTTGCAGGTAGGTTGCTTATGAAATCTTTATAGTAGGGAGGCTATTACCTTTTTTTCTTCATTGCTTGAAAGATTTGTTAAGTCATTTTTACTTGTCTTTACAAATACAGTATAGAATATTTGTTAGAGGTTTTTTTTTTGTTTTTGTTTCAGTTTTGTGTTTTTTTTTAATTTGTTGGGTTTTTTTGTCTTTTAACTCGATAAATGGTTATTTAATACTTAATTTTATCTTTAACCACTGGTAAGCTTTCTGAGGCACCTGTGGTTTGGTATAGTTTTTGAGATTCTGTATTACTCTCGATGGAATGGGTGGGATCGGATATAATTAACCTGAATTCTGATTATTATCAACCTCCATATTGAAGGATCTTCTGTAGACTTTCAGTGGAGTAGCTGGAAGATCTAATGGAACAGTTTCAAATAAAAATCAGAATTGTGTATCTTTTATGAACTGCTGGGGTATTTTTCCTTATGATTTAGTGGTTTAGTTTTGTATCATCTCTTACTGCTACTTTTTCCTTTTATTTGGTTCTGTTTGGGTTTGTTTTCCTCACACTTAGTCTATTCAGACATCCAAATAGATACTTTAGCTTCAGCTGCTTCTTACACATTTCACTGCCTAGGCTTTTGTGTCTGTGTTAGTGGGGAAAAAATAAGTATCACAGTGCCCGTATTTTTGACATTGACATTTCTTTTGCTTTGTGGCAGTGTTAATCTTCAGCAATTTTTAAACTCTGTAGTTTCACAGCATACCTAAAAATTTCTATATGACTTGAGGTTGTGAAATGTAAACTGGAAGATGTGCTAACACACTAAAATGGTGATCTATATCTTTAATGAACTGGAATAAGAATAAATACAATTTGAAATGAATAATCAAGAGTATATCAGGTGCTTTTGCTTTCTTGGTCCTAAGACCAGTGTAGCTGCACTCTCTAATGGTTTTCAGCCACAGTCTCTTCAGTTTCTCTTAAGTTGATTTTATGAATTCCATTGGTGGTTTTACATGTTGTTTTTAATTTTCTGAGCTCCTATAAGACTTGGGCACTTCAATAAATTGATGAGTAGCAACTGGTGGGACCAAAATGCTCAGGGAGATAGGCTTCTTAATATAAAGGGTCCCAAGCCACTTCTTTCCATTTGCCTAAATAGGTGATTGTCCTACACAGCATCCAGGGCTGTTTATGGGTGGGGAGCTGAGTTGTAGGCACCTTCTACAGGTACAGAAGGAAGTGATGGGGGAGGCAACATCAGAACCACACCATTATTCACCCTCTCTGATCTTTGAAACCACACTGTGTCATTCCAGTTTAGGATGGTGCAGCACCAGGAGTGTGCTGCTTCCTAGTGTTGACACCTCTCTTTCCCCAGGGCTGCTGTTCCAGCATGACATAGTCTGTGTGGACCTGTTCTTCCTGCCTGTTGCTACCTCCTAGACCAAACCCATTCATGTGACAGGACAGCAGGAAGTACATCGTGAACTGACAGAACAGTGTGGGCCTGCATTTCACCTGGTTACTAGCATGAATGTTTTTTTTATCATGGACTAAGGGAGGAAAAGTTAAATGCATGGCTCTGACACTGCTCTGATTCCTAGACACATGATACATGAACTTTAAGGTAGCAAACAGAAGGACAGTTTATGTGATTCCTCCCACTGAAGCAAGTCTTTTTGCAGGCAATGACTGTTGAGCTTACAGGTGCCAGGAAAAGGGAAAAAAACCCCAAACCCTTAAATGTAGTGGTTTGGCATAAATACAACTGCTGTTACGAATTTTAGAGCATCTAAAGTCTATCTGTCATAATACTGTTCCCCCCTCAGTTTCTAGCATACTGTATCTAGTTGAACGTGAGATTTGCTATCCCTCAGCTATAACAAACAATAAATTAGCTTAACTGGTGAGCCTTTAATTTCACTCGCTTCCAAACCATGAATTGTAGGCATTCCTTTTTCCTTTTGAAAGATGTCTATAGTAAATGTGTTAATTATTTGAAATGTTTTAATCTAATTTTACTTGAGTTTCTATGAAGTCCAAGTCTCCTTGTTCCCAGCTGTATTAAATACAGTGGGTCTGTGTTTACAGTTGTTACTGAGTTGAAGAGGAGGCTCAGAAGATATATCTGGGAGAGAAAAAACAAGTGCTACCAAAATGTTACCTAAATGATGATTTTCTATCTAGCATTTTACATTTTTTGTATAACCTTAATCTTGTTTCTGTAAGAATACTGAAATGAAATAGTTAACTCTTTTGGATAAAGGTGGTTTCTTTATATGACTGCCATTGGAAGGCTTTTTGCAGGTTTTGGAGTTCAACTTCCCTGAATTATTTTAGAAAATTACTTTCTTTAATAAATTATCCTTAACAGGAGACTTTCTGTCTTTACATGAGAATCCTTCATGCATCAAACTTCAGACAATGCTAAGAACAATTCTGCCATTATTAAAGACAAAATCAAGGGTTATTCACTTGTTGCTTTCATTTATAATTGTTTTGTTGAATCTGCTGCTGCAGTGGTGGCAGCAGCAGTAATGTAGCAAAGCAGCAAAGACTAATCCTTTTGTTGCCCCTTTGCTTCAGCTTTTCAGTATCTCTAAATGAGACACTTTATATTGCCAGATATGTATAGTATCTGCTATATGGTTCCAAGGTTCCATTTCATGCTGGTATGGTGAAGGGAAAGGAAGATTGTATTATACATTAGGAATTATCAGAGGAGGGCTTTGTAAATATCAAACACAGAAGCAGGTAAGGTAATTGTTAGGAGTGATCAATAGAGCAGAAAGTCCAGTACACAGTTAAGCATATGGCTTCTGAGATTTGCTGCTCAGTTTCGTTCTATGCGAAATTTGTTTAAAATAGCAGATTAACCAGTACTTCTTCGAAGAATAGTTGCTTAAAAATTGCATTATAAGAGATGGGAATACAAAGGTCTATTTCTTCAACTATTTTCCAGCTGGCATGGGTGATTATTTTTTTAATATATATACAGTTTATTATTTAATGACAGATTTATGGTAACTATTTTGAACTAGTGTCAGTAATTTTAATGTTTTGATAAACTAGGAAATATTAGGTGATTTTTACATGCTTGCTTTAGTCTCATGGGGGTTGGTTTAAGTTGTGCGGGGGGGGGGGGGGGCGGTGAAAGCCTTAAAGCATTATGCTGTTTCTCTTTTTGAGTTCTTGTCTTCCTGATCATGAAATTACTTTTGTTTATGAAACAGAAGCAAAATTGTTTCTACTAACTTCAAATAGTGTGATTTTGAGGTGGGGAGATGATTTTTTTTTTTTTTTTAACCTTTCCAGTACTTGCTATCAAATTGACAACAATTATGCTGGATATGACTTTATTAAAACTACCTTTTGTAAGGCTGACTTTTGGACTTCATTGACCTAGCTGTAACTTGTTTAGATTTAAGATTATGGGTAAGTACAGTAAAATACTGTCCCTTGTTAGCTCTTCAACAGATTCCCAACAGTTAAGTAAATGTTAAGTAACATTGCTGGAAAATGTCTCTAGACGGCATTCTGCTCTATGATCCAGGGCTTTAATGGTTTAGTGTGATCTTTTTGTAAGTGCTATGCTAAGGGTGCATTTTGGTGCAGAAATAATGCAGGTCTGCATGTATTTTGTAAATTATATGTGTATGGCTTTATCCCTACTTTCAAAATAAGGCATGGGCTTTGATGTTTTTGTTCGTAGTTTATGGCTAATATCAGTATTCTCCATTGATAACCCAAGATGCGTAAAAGAGAAGGAAGTTTTCATTGCTTCCTGCAAGGACAGAATCTCTCTGTGTCAAACCATATATACTAGGAATTACTTTTCACTTTCCTTGCTGTTATGCCACTCAGCATATGAAATGACCCCTCAGCAGCTTTATTGGTATATAACTAATCAGCACAGTGTTTCTTAGCAATATCCCAATATATATACACGTAGTCTTGTAAGAAAGAGATGCATTTCTTTTGTTCTTTCATTTTTCCAGTTACATGGGAATTGGGCTGTCAGCACAGGGTGTGAATATGAACAGACTACCAGGTATGTTCCAGTTTTCATTACATAAGTTACTTATGTTGGTTAATTTTAAATATGCTTGACTTTGATAGGAAGGTTCTGGTAAGCAGTAGTGTAGCATAACATCTCTGTTGTATCTGTCATCTGAATTACGTACAGCTTGCAGCTAAAATAAAGTTTAGCTTTTACTGTATGTTTGCTCCTGTACTATTTCCCACAATTCTGTGTTAGTTTATAACATTATATAATAATGTATTTATAACATTATGCAGATACTTTTTAGCAGACAAATTTTAAACACTGACTTGCACGGTCAGTGATGCTGTCTTGTTAACAGCTGTCTGCAGTACCTCTGTATAGCATTTACAGAAGCTGTGTGTATATGCTTTTTTTTCAGTCCATCTTCAAATGTGTAAGACAACCAGCCAACCCCCAACCTAAATAAACAAAAAAACAAAGCACCAACTGATTTTTGTTTTTATTTTTTTCCTGTTAGCCAAGTATAAAATCATGTTAAATTAACCTCAGAGTATCTGTATTCTCTTTCTTATGCATTGTTACTTTCTCACCCAGATTTTCTGGTGAAGATCCTTATGATGACAGTAGTTACACTGTGAGCCCAGTTAAGGGGGGATGAATTGCTAGTTTGTGACATGAACTTATTTTGAGTATGATTTAGGATGTATTGCAAGTAATTACCAGAGATACTGCTAATCAATGTAACTGCAGTAATTTGGGGTACTTAATTTACTGAGAGATGCTTACTGTGGTGCCTGCTGAAGCTACATACAGATTAAGGGCCTAATATGGAAACGACTTCCAAATTAACCTGTTAGGCAGAAGCTTGATAGAAGAGTTAACCTGCAACCTTTTAATCATTAAAAATGAGTTGTCAGGATAACTTCTTATAGCCAGAAGGTGTGCGTGTATGTTTATGAAATTTGGTGATTTGTGTTAAAGATCATGCTTTATATTATTTTGAATAGGCATTTAATAGACCTGTTAGGAAGATTATATGGTGCCTTAAAATTTTTTCCTTTTCTATGTGTTCTTGTTTAGTATTGTTCTTGTTTAGAATTGCAGAGAGTGTGGACAGGTATTTTCAAATGAGCTCAGACTAAAATTGCTTGTTGTGAATTTCACTGAGTAGTGTGACAATATGAAGCTTCTTAACTGGTTCTGCAGCTTCTTCACCTGCAATATTACCACCATATTTGCATACATAATGATTTGCTTGCTGGTTGTGACTTTAACCTGTATTGATAATTTTTTTTTTTCCTTTTAATTTTCAGGGCAGCAAAGCTTAGTTGACACTACAGTCTGGAGATTCTGCTATTATGCAGAGACTGCTTGCTGCTGAATAGTCATTCAGAATGATAAGGAGTAGAAATGTGATTCCCCAGAGATGCATGTTTGGATTTTAGCCAGGAAGAATTTGATTATGACATATGGTAGCAATAGTTCTGCAAGATGAAAGGGAGAACAGAATAATCTTCACTGTTTTACTGGGACATGTCAGATCTGCATATAGCTTTTCATATTTCCACGTTGTAGCTGATTATATTTTTGATGTTGCCAATTTTGTGAAAGAGAAAAATGTGTAATCTGAATTTGCATTACCTGTTACCTACTACAAATGGAATTGCCTTTTCAGCCATTTTGATAGAAGTTGTAATTTTTTAAAAAATTAAATAGATTTTTAAGATAAGAAATCTTAGAAAGCAGAAAGCTGAGCATAGTAATTAACTGTATTAACATAGTCTTTCCATTATTTCACAATAAAGGAAATTAATAAAATTGCAAATGCTTTGTTCTCTAGGTTGGGATAAACATTCATATGGTTACCATGGAGATGATGGACATTCATTCTGTTCCTCTGGAACTGGACAACCCTATGGCCCAACGTTCACTACGGGTGATGTCATTGGTTGTTGTGTCAACCTTATCAATAATACCTGCTTCTACACAAAGAATGGACACAGCTTGGGTATGGAGAAACATTACCGTTAATGATAACACTGTGTCTGTAAGTCTTGTAAATCTGAGACTCTGTTCATGTCAGGAACAAAGTGCTTGAATAGTTCTTTTGATAATCTTACATGATTTAAGTAAAGAATTGGGAAGAATAACTTCTTATGTGCCACTTGCAGTAACATTCCTTGTGAATTTGGAAGGATTTGTCATAATACCTCATTCCACAGGGCCTGCATTTGTGCACTCCATTACTAAATCCTCAAATAATACTTGATGCATATAAGGTAATACATAATAAGAGAATTGGAGAAATGGAGAATGGATATAGCTAAAACTCATTGCTGCTGTTTGAAGGACACTTAGCCTTCACTAAAACTTTACCTTGTATGGGTATTATTTTGAGCATATGTTGGAGAACAGTGTCTTTTGGATTCTCAGTCTGGAGTCAGGCATAGTTGGGCTAAAGCCATGAATTATGCAAGTTGTGCTAAAATTAAGTCTGTTAAATTCTTGTGGCAAATTTTAGTATTACGAAAGACTGAAAGAGAATTTTTGAGTTTGAAGACAGAAGGAAGGGGTACAGTTAAGATCTTTCGATGCAGTGTATATGTAATAATTCCATGACTTAGTGCAGTTTAGTGAACAAAGATACAGAGTGTAAAGAAAGAAGGGGAAAAAGATCTACCAGGCCCTGAGCAAACAGATTTAACTTCAGAGTTTTCCTGCCTCTGCTCAGATCAGGGCTTAGGTGTCTCCAAAGGGCAATTCCAAGTAATTACTTCCGTGATTCTATCATAATTTAATGTTTCTTCTAAATTGAATGAGTGTATATACCTGCGCTTAATACACTGTGGCAGTGGTACACTTTAACCATGCACTGTGTAGTAGTGTCTTTAGGCCCTGATTCAGGGTATATGTTGAAATGGAAGACAATAGGTTCATGTTGTTGTTTACCCCAACTTTAACTGGATTAAAGCTGAACTTCCGTTTTGGAACTAGTAGCAGTGTACCTGCAGGTAGGTTGCATCAGATCATTGGTCAACTAAAAAGACAGTGGTTTTCTGACTACAGTTCTGGTCATATGCATGGACGAGTGAAGAAGGGAGGAGCAGAAACCTTCTCTTCTAGTGGAAGTCTTAAAGCAGACTGGATTAGGCCAAATATGAAAAAGGTCACTCCAAGTGCTTAAAATCTCTTTAGAGGAGAACAGAATGGCATAGATGAGGAGAGGCTAGTAAGATGTCATCTGTCATAGACAAGAGTTTGACACACACTTGATGGATTTCAGAAGGAAACCTGACAGCTGTTCTGCTGTGGTGGGCTTTGCTAGTTTGAATTTCTGGCAGAGGAAAATTGATTCTTAAGGGGAGAAAGAAATTGTTTAGGGGAGAAAATAAATTAGAATTTGTGGCTGTCTTGCAGAGTTGTTTCTGCTATTTGTCCAGAATTCTTGTATGATCGTGACTTGGAGGACATTTATGTTTCTTCTTCGGGCCACAGATGCAGTCTTAGAGTATTGGAAATCTTTGGCTCAGCTTGGAATTTGACGCTACAAAACGGGCTAAGCAATTATTTACGCAAGTGTGAAGTTCTGGGTTAAAAAAAATCCACCACCACCACCAAAAAAACCCCTACAAACCTGGAAACTAAGCCCCCCCCCCAATACCTAGATGTCACTTAGTCATCAGTTATCGTTTATATGTCTTGCCTACTGCCATGGTTACTTTGGAAAAGGGCAAGTTGGATGTCAAAATGTGCCGAACAGGAACTTTATAAAAAGTTAGGGTGTGGACAGGTGATGAGTGACATGTTAGCTTTGAGATGTGATGGGAGGAAATGGATTCGGTTTATATTTTTTGTATCAAAGACATGAGTAAGGAATCCAGATGCTCTTGATGTTTGCAATCTTGGTTAAGAATGGAGATGGAAAGAAGAGGTGGAATTTAGGACCAAAGGTTAAAAATTTTGTTTTTTTTTAATCTTAAATTTGAAAATTCAATCATACAAAATAAGAGTTTGAAGGGATAAGTGGATTTCGGTCATTATGCACTTATGAAAAAATAAATTCAAAGAAATACTTGCAACAGTAAAGGAAATGCTGAAATACTATTATCATTTTTCTGCCAGAAGGAGATTTCCCGGTACTTACTTTTTAACTGAAAGCTCCCCCACTTCCTCCTCTAAAATTGCATGAAGTTCATGAAGTGTATAGAGGTCAGATTTTTCTCTAATCCTGAGACAGTAAAATCATTGCCTTGGTTTTAGTGGTAGATGGATGCTTGTAATAACACAACAAGATAATAAGCTACTCTATTTGAAAACCAAAATGCCATGGTGTGGATTAGAATGAAACATTTACCATACTGGTTCGGAGTATTACTTGCTACTCATGTAAAGATCATATGTACTTGTGAAGAAAAGTAATAGCAAACAAGAAAAGACGCCATTAAATCTTGCTGTTGCAGCATCAAGACATGCAAGTGAAGAAATATCTTCAGATATTCTTATTGTGCCTCTATTCTGTAGCCAGAATTTTCATACTTTCTAATCTGTGTATCTGCATGATGTTTGGTAAATCTTATGTCCTCTGTTGAAAAATTGAGGGCAAATTGAATACTTCTGGATGACAGCTACTTTTTGCCAATATTGCTCTGATTACTCAAGCACATCAGTTGTGCCTATGCATCACTGATGTCACTATCCTTAACTACTTATTTCCGAGATAGTTTGGGTGAGTTTTCTGAACATGTAATGATACACTTAAGAAAATGAGGCAAGAATCCAGACGTATGAAAATTCATCTTAATTTTCTCTTCATTACAGGCATCGCTTTCACAGATCTACCGGTAAGAGAAGTGCATTTTCAAACAGCTTTCCTTTGTATTATAAACAAATGTTTCAGTTGTAACTTGTGTTTACCTTGTGTGTCTTGGAAGTACAGCGATAATCATTTTAACCATTTTAATATCATAAATTTTTCCTCACCATTTAAGTGGTGATTTGTTAACCAAAGCCATTTTTTTTTGTTTTTAAACTGATTTTCACAGGGGTTTTTCTTTTCAGGTTTTGACAGGCACTTCTAATGGAAGTGTAGCAGGAAATAATGCATACAAGTAGTTGTTACGTACTTTGTTTGATATATACAGGCCTTACATACAAAGTGGAAGCTGTATTAAACACCAGCACGATGCACGTGTGTGTTCAGCTGTGTATCATGCACAGAAAGGCTGGCTTAAGTAGTTCATGATGAGTAACACATGATAAGTAACACATGATGACTGTAACTCATCCTTGATAATCTAATTTTCAAAATCTTTCTCTATACTGTTTACTCTGTCAGGTCAAACGTGTCAAAAGTTTTGGTTTGTTGCTTTTTAAAGCAAGCTTGGGGATACCTGAAGTTGTCTGGCTTTTCAGTCAATTAAATTGTAATTTCCTTGAAGTTGTTAGAAATGTGTTCTACATGCCACTGGTACCAGCAGCTGCTGCACTTCTGATTGTTTGTTGTTGGATTTTTATCTTTTTTTTTTCATCCACTTAATTTCTCATTTAATCTGGTTAGGGTGAAGTGTGTGATCCATTTCCATCTGGCCAGTGACTCCCATTTGCTATGGCCTTAGGAGTCAAGGACAAATATTAAGGAAAAATAAAGTCAGTAACTCAGGACACCTCCCAGCTGCACCACAGGGTTGGGTGCTGCTGTCCTGGACCTGTGTGATAACCAGCAGGGCTCCTTGATAGCACGTGGTACCAGCACAGGAAAACTGACACTGTAATCTGAAGTTTGAACCTAGACCCCTCCTCATTAGAATCAGTTGTTTTCATCTGATTAAAAGATCTGAGACCTGTGCTTTGTTGATTAGTCTGGACTAGGTAACACTGTGCGCAAGGTTTCTTAAAGGGGTGGCAGGGAAGTGGCAGGATTTGGTTTGGGCATGGTTTTTAACAACCAGACTAATTTCACAGAGCTTCAGTGTTCCTACTGATCTGCATTGTTGGTAACTTGTTTATTGATAGCTTTAATTTATGTAGCATATAGTTCTGTAGATCAGCGTACCATTATACCATGCCGTTGTTGATTGCAGTGTAAATATGATGTAAGTGTATTTATAAATAAAAAACAGCAACAAACCCCACCCACCCAAAACCCCAACTGATTGCATTGCCATTGCTGAGGTGCTTAGGTGCATTTAAGAAAGTTATGTGAATCCCAGCAGGCAGATTTTAGTTTTCTCGTATTTGGCATATTTCAGATTTGCATGGAGACCTGATCTCTGGGCAAAAATTAAACTGAGACAGCAATAAATGCTTTAAAGTCTTTTTGTAGATACAAGTCCAGGAATTCCTGAGAACTTCAATGCACTGTCACAGTTCTTTTTAGGCGCTACACTTGGACTTTGAGGCTAATGAGTTCTCTATCCTGTCAGTTCTTACCACTAAAATTCAGCGATGTTTTAAGTATTTCACCCCAAAAGGAAAATGGCCCACTTTGTAAGTTTAATTTTTGTTCTCTTTTTAAAAGAAAAAGGCTGGTCTTTAAAAGTAATTTAAAAATTGGTGTTGAGTATCTTGTAAAATTGAAACCAGAAGTTGTAAACTTTAGCACAGTTTAAAAAGTTAATTTCCTGACTAGAAAAAGAATGGTCAGTCAGGCTCTCGTATTTCACAGTAAAAACAAAAAAGTAATTATGACTACTGGGAATAAAATTAGTCATTGTATTGATGGATTGGTCGAAGTTGCTTTAACTGCTGGACGGATGATCCAGAGGTACTTGCTGCATCCCACTACTGGTAGCAGTGGGGATATTATTATAGGGATGAAAAAAAAAAGGAAAGTGGGGCATTTAGAATAAGAGGAAAAAGCTAATTAAAAAATTTCTTGCAGCCAAACTTGTACCCTACAGTAGGGCTTCAGACACCAGGAGAGGTTGTGGATGCTAATTTTGGACAGCACCCATTTGTATTTGATATTGAAGACTACATGCGAGAATGGAGAACCAAAATTCAAGCGCAGATTGACAGATTTCCAATAGGAGATCGAGAAGGAGAATGGCAAACAATGATTCAGAAGTAAGACTTTGAATATTGTTAATTTAAAAAAAAAAGAAGTTATTAATTGCATGATTCCAGAAATCTTTAAAGCATTGTAATTATTGTGCAAAAAAAAGCACAGATAGTATTAAAACCTAGTACAAATGGTTTTCTTAACAGGTTGATAAACATTTATAAATTTGAGCATGGGGAGGAGTTCTCTGCATCATTAATAATTAAGAGTTCCTAATGATGAGCGTAAGCCTTCCATTCTGATTTGCCCTATCTCGTGTGCATTGGGGAGTTTAAAAAAATTGATGTGATTTTAATGGACGGTTTTAATACATTGGGCTCTGGAAATTTCCCTTTGTGTTCTCAGCCTTTGGCATGCCAGGTTAAGTTGTGGCTCATTAATGTCTCACTTGGAAATATGGTGGTGTGCCTTTGCATTTCTTATTTCTTCAGTGAAAACAAGTAATTAGTGTGCAGATATTTAACTTCAGTGTATGTCATGAGCAAAAAAAGACAATTAGCAGGTACTGTTTTAATTGAGCTTGCTTTTGGGTGATGAATCATTTTAATTCAGAATTCACCGTAATCAAATGAGACATTGATTTTTTTAAAATGGTTTTTCTGCGCAGTGATTTGAAGAAGGTACTGGCCCTTCACTGAGTTACTTTTGTGTGACTTGTACGGAAGTTTCCGAATTTCAAGTAGAATTATTTATTCAGTCACTTTTTTTAAGAAAAAAAGGTTTTTACATTCAAGCAGCTCTTGATCTCTGTACTTGTATGTAATGTGTGTTTCTGGGTTTTGTTTTTGTTTATTTTTAGAATGGTATCATCTTACTTAGTTCACCATGGATACTGTGCAACAGCAGAGGCATTCGCCAGATCCACAGACCAGACTGTGCTAGAAGAATTAGCTTCCATTAAAAATAGACAAAGTAAGGATGGAAAGCATGTTGCATCCTTTTTCACCTCCCTTAAACAAAAATTACCTAAAGCTTTCTCCTAAGCATCACTGTAGAATTTCCTTTCAGCACTACTACATAGTACAGTTTTTTGCTGTAAAGTTACACGCATATGAACATCTGGTTAAGAACAACTTCCACACTAACGCTTTGGAACTTGTTTGATGTAACAGAATGTGATAAATTACCTGTTGTCTTTCTCTTGAATGGAAAATTGTGATCTGTCTTAAACAAATGTATGTAATGTCTCTAAAGGAGTGTTTGTGAGAGCTAATGGTCAGTCACAAGCAGGAATATAAAACAGCCTTGACAAACGTTTAGGTTTTTATCTTAACTGAAAAGGGGTAGAGTTTAGAGAATGCTTTGTAAGTTAAACCAGATTTGAGTTTTCCTGCTTACAGATGTGAGGGGGAAGAGGACAAAGTGTACTAACAGCAATTCGGTTCTAACTTGCTGTGGCAGTGTTGTTTGGCAGCCTGATGAAACACTGCCTCCCCTGTTTGTTGAAATCCCTGCTGTACAACACAAGCATTTGTGTGACTGCATGACATACCACATGGGGAAACTGCTCTGGTTGAAAAATAACCCATTGCTTGGGCTGTTTTTCATTCTGGATCAGTTTCTCTGTTGGTGGATAGAGCTGTGAGGCTGTTCGCAAGTTGTGCTAAGTTACAGCAATATAAGCATCAACTAATGCAGGGACTGGTATGGAAAGGTTTAGTCAACTGCAACCTGACTGGAAGTGTGTGTTGTAGGTGAGAGAGACTAAATTTTGGGTTTCTTAGTCAAAATTGAACCTGTGGGAGTGGGACAAAGTTTGGATATTCTTGGGTGATGATAGTTCGGACTGTGTTTATTCGTAAAAGCATGAAAATGAGATAGCAGAAGAGTGTCTGCAATCTTAATTTAAGTGTGCAGTCTGACTACAAAGCAGATGTATGCTGGCAAAAAAAAAAATACTGAGTGCTCACCTAGATATATGCAGGCTGAGTGCAGTTCTTAAATTCTCCTATCAAATATTTTGAGGAAGCATGATCTTTCTTTACACTTTTTTTTTTTTTAAGGAAAAAACCTTGTTGATTGATGGTTGCAGTGTCTTTTAATTGTTATTTTACATGTATTAATCCATAGCTGTCCATTTAACTGATGTTGGTTTTGGTGAGCAGAGGTTCAGAAGTTGGTTTTGGCAGGATGAATGGAGAACCCATTGAAACAACATAACAGCTGTATCCAAGTTTACTAGAAAAAAATCCTAATCTCTTATTTGTTTTTTGGTGAACAGGAATTCAGAAATTGGTTTTAGCAGGAAGAATGGGAGAAGCCATTGAAACAACACAACAGTTGTATCCAAGTTTACTAGAAAGAAATCCTAATCTCTTATTTGCATTAAAGTGAGTCTTCAAATTATACAGATGTGTGTTTATAGATGGCACAGTACCTTCTGAGACAAGACAGTTACTCGTTTAAAGGTTTCACAGAAATTTAAACAAAGTTAAGCAGCATTTTTTAGAAAATGTGTATAGTTCACTTTTTTTATGCTATATTATTTGCTACATGTTTAGGTTTTGTCATCAAGGTCCTGTTCTGCAGCATAATTCACATCTCGCTGTAGACTTATTTTCTAGAACTAAGCTTTGTAATTTTTAAAATCAATCAGTTTGGCCGTCATGTAAAACTTAAACTGCAAACTGATACAGTGTCATTTTGAAGAAGGTTAAGAGTCCTGTTGGCATAAGTTCATCTGTTCCTCCAAATGCGTAACTGACTTTAAAGACCAGTTTAAATGAGCTGTTTCACTCCGTGTCACTTTACTAGAAACCACTGGCTAATACTGCGGAAATTCCATAATCCCAAAGAGTTCTCTTGGCTTCCCAGGCATGCAATAGTCACCTTCATTCTGGCATTTTCACTTGCCAGCTGCGCTGATCCTCCAGAATTTTGAATCACGTTGGTAGTGTTAAAGATTCCAGAAAAAAAATCTCTTATCTCTTATAAGAACAAAGCACTTCAATTTCAGTGTTAAGTAACTTGGAATGTGTTTGAAGTCTGTCACGCTTAAGAGCTGAACAGAATTCATGTGGTAGTACTGCAGACTTACCAAAGAATTCACAAAATGCGAACATTCTGATGAAAGACTTCACTCAAAACCATCAATTCTGTGTTAGATTTCTCTCAATCTGTCTATCTAAATTTGCCTGTTCTATTGAGGCTATCCAAGCCTAAAACATAAAGCAGCAGTTGTGAGCTTCCTTAAAGTCCATAGCAAAACCTCCTTATCTAAAATAAAATTGACAAAGAGCAACAGCCTCTAAAGGGAAGGTTTGTATTGTGAGCTTGCTTTTCAGACTGTTTTCTAGTGCAAGTGCTTAATGTTAAGAGTTATTCAAAGCTTACTGTTCCAGACAGTCAAAACTATATTCTCATTTACTTTGAGAGAAATGACAGACATGACAAGGTAATGACATAGCCTTCTCAAGAAATAACCTTGCCCCGCCAATAAAATAAAATAGTTAAGAAAATACAGTTCAGCTCTCTGAACTTTGAGGACTTACTGACAAAGTCTGTTCTTGAAGGATAATATTCCTGCTCTCCTCCCTCACAGACTTTGTAATTGTGTATTTTTGGCTGAATCCTCCAAATCTTATTGATGATTGGGGTAACTGACATCCAGCATTTTGCTGAGTCAGACTTTTTGTGTATTTAACACTAAAATTAAATCATTGCTGTCACTGGTAAATTGAAATATGTAAGTTGCTTTATTAGCTTAACTTTTTTTGCCTTTTGTTTAGGGTGCGCCAGTTCATAGAGATGGTGAATGGTACAGACAGTGAAGTGCGGTGTTTGGGAGGCCACAGTCCAAAATCTCAAGATAGTTACCCTGTTAGCCCACGATCATTCAGTAGTCCTAGCATGAGTCCCAGCCATGGAATGAATATTCACAATTTGGCAACAGGAAAAGGGAGCAGCACGCACTTTCCTGGTAAGCTAATGTGGGGAATATATCACACCATGGAGGTTCTGGGTTTTTTTACAATGAAGTGTTAGGAGAAGTCAACAGATACTCACAAGACTGACAATTTGTTTTACTTAAGAGTTGATACTGAATGCTTTGCATAAAATTATAGTTTTGTTATTAAAATAGGCATTTCTCAGTCACTGGGGAAATGGAAATTGTATAAATAGAAACGAATCTTTTTTGCATGTGCTCTTGGTTTTACTAATGGTTTGCAAAGTAGGTTGCCACTGGTTCTAAGAAGAGCTTGCTTCTAGGAGATGGAAGGCTCCGACACAAATTTCTGTGTCCTTTCGATGACAATTTAAGGCTTGGGCAAGGTGATTTCAGTCCAGTAAGTGTTGTATATGATCCATTTCCTGTGGTGTTTAGGGAATAGTAGGAACACTTGCTCTTGTGTAGGAAATACCAAATGCCACCACCTGGCTTCTGGTAAAAGAGTTTCTGCTGGCAGCCATATTTATTCTGCACAGCTGAAAGAGTTCTGAGAGCGCCTCAGTGGTGGTAAAGCTTCAGTGGGAAGCCAATGAATGTTCAGAGCTGCCCCGTTCCTCTGGGGGGAGATCCCTTCCAAAGCACCTCTGCAGAGAGGAATTTGGACATACTGAAACGGTACGTGAATGTGTAGTCTTTGAACCCAGGACTCTTAAGGTAGTAGAGAACATCAACTTTCACTTCTGTTTCGTTCTTAAATCCAAACTGTATTTGGGGCTCTCTTTCATTTTTCTCTCAGTCGGATTGGGTAGGAAGCCAGTGTAGCCTGGTCACCAGAATACTTGCTGCCCTTAGCAAGGCAGCAGCTTTGCTTCTCTGCTGTGTCAAGACCGCTATGGTGTGTGAGTAGAGGTCCACTCACACTTTGTGTTTGTTCTTCAGGTGGTTGTTGGGATGTATGGTAGAAAGTAACTTTCTAATTCTGAAAATAGAGGCACCACTTAATAAGCAAGTTGATGAATGTATTATTAGAATTGGGGCTTGGGATTTCCTGAGTGGCAGCAACTCTTTTGTTTGTAAGAAGCCCTTCCTGGGACCTGTTTCTATATTATAAGATACTAGGGAGCCCTTGCTTTTGGGCTTGATGGAACTGGTAATTACATGTTTGCTTCAAATAGTAGTGTCGTGATTACATTTTAGAAGGGTCAGAAGAGATTTTAGCCAGACGTCATAATTTCACAGCATGGTGTAATTTCATTTAGCAAAGCACAATAATAACAATTAAAATAATTATATGGGGAAGGAGGGAGGTAGTGTTTAAGTGTAGCAACATGTATTTTCAGCACTGAATTTTACTGCGTATTTATCAAGAGAATTATGTGATTGGGAATTAGGAAGATGCATGTCTGCTTCCATTCATAATCATTACTGTGGCCTAGAAAAGATCTTCAGACCTTTAGAAACAATGTACAAGTTCTAAAAAAAAATCATTGTATGTTGATGCAGTTTTCAGTTTTCCTGGTTGTAAGTACAACTGGAAAACCTTCTCATGTATGTGTTAGTACTTGTTAAATAATGCTTAACATCTGCACTGTAGAAGCCTTAGAGGATCAAATACCTGAATCATGGGGGCTAAGTATTTGCATTTATTTGTTCCTGGTCAGTAAACTCTAGATTTGCCAGTGTACTTACTTCACGTCTGTAGATGGGTACTTACATGTAAGTTTGTAGATTATTACAATTATTGAAACTTTCTTTCAGGCTTTGAAAGTAGTTGCAGTAATGGAGTAATATCAAATAAAGCGCATCAATCTTACTGTCACAGTAAACACATGACTGCCAACTTGAATGTACCAGAGCTCAACAACATAAATGTATCAAGATCACAGCAGGTTAACAGCTATTCCAGGTGAATAAACTTCAGATGCTTCTAACTTGCATTAAGGCTTGTGTTGTCCATGTGCTTGTATCACAGAGAAGAGTTGTGTCAGTGAGTTCTGATGTGATTTCAGTTTCTTAAGGACAGTTAAAACATTTAGTATAAGGGGCCAAAGCCTTACGATCACTCTAGTGTGCTTTGGTTTTGTTTTAACTTTTCAAGCTCAATACACCTGTTTTCTCCTGTTTGGTTAAAGAAATGCAATGGACAAAAATAAATTACCTTGTTTATATCTGTTTATGGTCAGTTTTGAAGTTGTGTAGTGAAGATTAACTCTCTGGCACTCCCTAATGACGATTAGCTCTCTGGCTCTTGGGATTTTAATTTAAGCCACCGACATTGACTTAAGAACATTGCAGGCAGGTGATGAAATGTTTTCCAGATACTCTGCATTTGTGGCGGTATCTGCAAAGTACACACAACTGAGATGCATGTGAAATCTGGACTCCCTTCCATTGCACACACAAGAATTGTTTGTCTGCTCCAGCCATTGTCACTTGTGCAAATACATTTGATTCAGAGAATGAAAATAGATGTATTAACCAGGGTTAATACAGTTATTCATAGCCAGTAAATATTAAGCTTTGGGTTGCAGAGATGCAGCAGAGCCTCATTTGGTGTGAAATACAACAGTACTTGGCCAAGATGGATTCCCAAAACTACCACCTAAGATGCAATGATGCAGTAGTGTTAACAAAAGGTATTTCAGTTGGATAGTGATGATAGTGGGGGAGAAAGTAAGAGTAACAATTTACTACTTCGTGATTTGTGTTTGCAACAGCAGTTGCCTCTGCCACGAAGTCTGGCAGTGTCCAGGCAACTTTAAGGTTTTTCACAGGAGTAAGACAATTCCTTGGCCACAGTGTTGTCCAGTCAGAAAGGCCTTGTGGTTTCCTTCCTCAAAGGAAGCTGGATATAACTGGTTGCTTAGAAGCAAGATATTAAGCTTTCAAATTGAATCTTTTTGGTCTCGAAAGAGGTTTTCAGTTGTCATTCTCTATGTCAAAATAGAACGGGCAAAGAAAACTCAGTCCCCAAAACCATGCTGGCATTTTCTAACATTGCTTTTGTGACCTGCTATGAGCAAAGTGTGGTGAGCAGTTGTATACTCTGAATTTACCTCCGAGTATCTCTTCAGTGTCATGGCTTACTTAGTGTTTGCTTTGGGTTTTATTTCATTTTCCCCTGTCATTCCAGTGAGAGTAAATGAGAGGTAAATAAGAGCTCGAGGCTTTTGTAAAAGAATTATTTATCTAAATGTGATATTCTCAAAGTAGGCTGTATCTAAAGTTAACTGTGGATTGTTTTTTGGGTTGGTTTTGTTTGCTTTCTGAGGTGAGAATACTGTATTTTCTCAATGCATTTTCTCCAGCCTTATGTACAGCTGTATATACAGATGTATGAACAAGGTATGAACTTTTTGGTATGTATTCAGGAAGTGTGAAGTTATTCCTGAAGTGTGATGAAAATGTTCTTTTACTGAGTGGTAATGTTAGTAGAGAGCACTTTCAAATGTCCCCGGCGCTCTGGTAGTGCCACTTGCTACGGAAAAAAAACTGTGCTCAAACTTTGTAATATTTAAGAGCAGCTTTTCAGTAGCCAAGATGAGGAAGTACTATGCTGAAGTCGTGAAGAAGATAACTCTTAAGTGCTTAAATATGAGTAAAACTTTTATTTATTGCTCTCTTTGCAGCAATGACGTAGACATGGAAACAGATCACTACTCCAATGGGGTTGCTGAGACTTCATCCAATGGCTTCCTAAATGGTAGTTCTAAACATGATCACGAAATGGAAGAATGTGACACAGAAATGGGTCTGCAGTGATATTTCTTACATTTTTATTAAGTGATGGCAACAAGGTTATGTTTTTACTTGCAATGCTTCCCACCTTGAAAATTAGGAACATCAGCTCAAATCTTAATTTTTTGTTTTTTGTCACTGTTAGATATAAATCTTACAACCACTAATTCAGGTGGTTCAGTGCCAGTGTGACAACAGGGGAAACTGGTTAGCTCATGGATATTGAAACTAGTGTCTCTGTTGAAGGAAAGAGAAGAAACATCCTGTTGTGTAGGATGCCTGGATTAGGGTCAGCAGGTTGTTGCTCCCTCTTCCTTAGACCTTTTAGCACTCCTGGTTCTCATGGCACCTTTGCACTCGACAGTAAGGGTAGAAATTTCATATCACTTATATTAAAGAATTCAAAGTGCAAATATGAGATGCTCAAGAAAAGAGCCATGTTTGGGAACTGAGATAAATTTAAAAAAAAACTGTTTTCTGCCGAAAACAAGTATCCTGATTTACATAGTTGTGGTCTAAAAAAATAACTTTGTTTCACTTAACCTGCTTTACACTCAGCCATACCTGTTTAGTCAGTGACAAGTGAGTTTAAATACCCTCTGATTGTCAGTGCACCACGAAAAGGTACTGTGACTCTGTCGGCTACCATGCAGTCAGATCACTTCAGTGCAAGCAGGCTGGAGCTCAGAGAGTGGTCGTTATTGCTGGCTGTATCTGAAGAAGTGCAGCTGGTTCTGCAGTTGTAGAACTGCCTTCTCAAACAATTGATTTAAACAGGCATCAATTAATAGGTAGTTTAAATTAAATGTGTGACTTGGGGCATCACTGGTAAACTTTCAGAAAGCAGCAGTGCTCACAGGCACCTGTGAACCCCAAGAACAGTTCTGACAAGCAGCTGCTCATGCAGCTTTGCTGGTAAATACCAGCAAGCTGTTGAGAAGCAAATGTAACTCTGCTACAGCCCTGGAGGGGGGAGATGCAAATTGCCAGCCTGTGTTCCCTGCAGTATGCTCTGCAACTGGCTAATAACAAGGCCTCACTTCTGTGACAGAGAAAACAAACCACTTTCTCACTCTCTTGCAGCCTTTTCCACAGAGGCTTGCCGTGACAGACGTGAAGCGGCTGCACAGGGCACAGAGTTGTTTGTGGTTTGGTTTGGTTTGGCTTGGCTTTTGAATGTAGTTGCTTCTACCTGTGGAAAGTAATGTCCTAGTTTGGAGAGCAGCAACAAACACCACTTCTTGAAGATTTCTGGGTGCTTCACCTTTGTAAAAAAAAAAAAAGCAATGTGGCTCCTCAGCCTACATTGTTTACTCCCCACAGTTTGAGTTTGGTGGTTGTTTCGGTGGTTGTTTCAGTGCTTTTTTTGCCGTTTGAAATGTCTGTATATTCTCCTTAGTGCTGTGTATGTAGTGTTACGTAGGCAGGTTTTTTCCAGAGGTGATAAGCTCACATCCAAGAAAAAAGTAAAAGAGGCCTTACAAATCCTTTCTTGAAATAGTGGTTAGAATATATCACTAGAGAGCAGTGTTAAAATTGGGAACAAGAATGGTTTGGTAATTACAATGTACATCAAACTGATTCAGAACTTGATTCCACTGATGACAGAAAGCAAGGAATGGATAAATGCCCCTTTTGTTTGTTTGTCTGTTTTTAACAGACTGCTTTAGCTGTAAATCTAAAAAAGGCAGAACTTCAGGAGGAGCCAAGGGTTGATTTATTGGTCATGAACTGCATTAGTATCTTTTAAAATGACTAGTGCTGGGGAACATTGTAGCAAAGAGTAAAGAAATCAATTGCAGTGTTCTGCTTAATTACAGAAGAAGCCTGAAATGTCAAAATTACTAAACTGATACATTCTACAAGGAGTATGAGCATCATCTTGTCTGTTTGGGAGTTCAGGTGATCTTACTCTGCATTATTATCAGTTCTGGCTTTGGTGTATCTTTAGAAGTGCAATGCCAAAGAATTAAAAAAGCAGAACTTATTGTTGTCTTCATTAATTTTAAACTCCCATAAGATTTTAGGGTAAAATCTGGTTTATGGTCAAGTTAGTTTAAAATTCAGCATTGCAAAATAAACAGCATAGGTAGACAGCCTTTGCCCTTAGTTAACCATAAGCCTCTTAATGATCATAGGAGGAACAGTTGGGCAGTACTTGGAGCAGGGATACATTATGCCAAGGTCTCTGGCCTGGTGTTCTCTCCGAGAAGACACGTGCCTTTCAAGTGAAATCAGTGCAGGTTCTGTAGATCCATAGATAGTTATTGTTTGCTCTGTTGGGGTGATGATGACGCTGTCATTTTTGCAGAAGTAGATTCAAGTCAGTTGAGACGTCAGCTGTGTGGTGGCAGCCAGGCAGCCATCGAAAGGATGATCCATTTTGGAAGAGAATTGCAAGCCATGAGTGAGCAACTAAGAAGAGAATGTGGGAAAAACACGGCGAATAAGAAGATGCTCAAGGTATATTTAATCTGGAAATTGTGGCATTAAGTGGAATAACTGTGCTGCCCTGCAGAAACTTCCCACAGCATGGGGCATGGCAGTACTGTGCTGCTTTAACTGCTGCCATTTTGTTGGTGTTGTGGTCTGAGAGCAGTGTCCTAGTCAGCTGTGATACAGCACTGTCTCCTGGCTTGCCTGTGTAGGGCATTCACAGGGAAGATACTTTCATGCCTGTGCTACAGTTAAACCCAGAGATAAATTTAGCACTTTTGTCTCATTTCTGGCCATTTAACTTGGCCTCTTGAAACAAAGTGCTGTTTTCAGCTCTAATGATGATCCATGAGAAAGAGGATTGATACAGATGCCCAGAATGTGCTGTCTTTGATACTGATCTGTTTACCTTGATCTAAGATGGCTCTGGAAGAGAACTCCCCTGCCAAAGACTGACTGCATGCAGTTTTCAGTTTGTTTTCTTTTCCCCCATCACGTACTAAAATACCACTCCCGTTGTCTTTCTGTTGGGGAAAAACACTGCTTACTCAAAATGGCACAAGTCCTGTTACATTTCTTTTTATCCTTTTGTACTGATGAAGGTCACTGACAATCACCTTTGTGATTCTGAATCAGAATGGGTGAAGAAAATAGTCCTTGTGCTCAGTAGTAACATATAGCTGCAAGATGTAATAAAAATCATCTTTCCACAGGATGCATTCAGTTTACTTGCGTATTCGGATCCTTGGAGCAGCCCTGTTGGAAATCAGCTTGACCCAATACAAAGAGAACCTGTGTGCTCTGTACTTAATAGTGCAATACTAGGTGAGTACATACAAGCCGGGTGGTTTGTATGTATGGTATGGAGCGCCTGTCATTTGAGACAGGGAGCACTGCTGCCCACCATGCACCATCTGCTGGTCTTGGTAGAGGGCTGGCTGAATCATTAACAAAGCATAGTGATGTCGTGTACGCTCCTTCAGTAAAAGAGTTTTTCTCTGTCTTCTCTCCTGTGAAAACAGGCTGAGGGAGTTGGGTTTGCTGAGCCTGGAGACGGCTCCAGGGAGACCTTAGGTGCAGCCTTCCAGTACATGAGGGGGGCCTACAAATCTGAAGAGGAGCTTTTGACAAGTACATGTAGTGATAGGACAAGGGGTAACATACTGAGAGAGGGTAGATTCAGATTAAGACTCTGTGAGGGTGGTGAGGCACTGGCACAGCTTGCCCAGTGAAGTTGTGGCTGCCCCATCCGTGGCAGTGCTCAAGGCCAGGTTTGATGGTGCTTTGAGCAGCCTGGTCTAGTGGAAGGTGTCCCTGCCTGTGGCAGGGGTTGGAACTGGATGAGCTTTAAGATCCGTTCCAACCCAGACCATTTTGTGGTACTTCTGGGGGGACCTTAATGTAACAAATGTAGTCGTCTTTGTTGTGCAAAGCAAAATTGGTCCTGTTCAATAATGGTGTTCTGCAGGGAATTTAAAAGTGTCACTTTTTTGCTCCTGCTCTGTCTTGATGCAAAAGCAAATAGAGGAATTCTGTATGAACAGTTTAAGCTTAAAACCAAAGTTTTCAATGTATTACCATGAAATTAATAGCAGTTTTTTAACTGCTGCTGTTATTCTTTTCCAGAGACTCACAACCTGCCAAAGCAACCGCCGCTTGCCCTGGCAATGGGACAAGCGTCACAGTGTCTGGGATTGATGGCTCGATCAGGAATTGGCTCCTGCGCCTTCGCCACAGTGGAAGACTACCTACACTAGCTATGCATTTGAAGACCTGAAAGGTGTCATGGCATATTAAACATGGAAAGTAGGCCAGCTCTGCTGACTGGAATTTGGGATTTTAATTATGTACTAAGGACAAGTCTGTTGCTTTATGTTGCTTCCTAGTTTACAGCATGATGCAAATGATTTCTAACTTAGTGTTAGGAGAAAATTTCCATCTTGAAACCTCTTAGACAACTAAGAGTTGAAAACGTCACTGATAAGGTCAGACATCCAGATTGACAAGTACCAGTCCTTTACACGATTGTCCAAAACAAACCAAAAATCCTGCTACCTTGTGGTGGGACAGAAGGGCGGAAAAGACAGACGTATTAGCATGTGGGTGATGCAAATGTCAAGCAGGATGACTTGCCAACCTCCACCCCCATTGTTACATAGTTCAATCAGTGTAATTTGCAAAACGCAAATGGTTTGGATATATAGTGTTGATGGGAAGAAATGATATTTTTTAATGTGTACTGTAAAACTTGAATTACTCAGGAGCTGAGTGAATATGTTTGTTGCTACTTACAATCCCAGCCTGTTGATCTTAGTAGGTTTTTTTTTGTTTTTGTTTTAACATGGTCTTTTCAACTTTGTTTCCTTGTTTAATTACAGACAGCTTCTGTTGTGTAGACTCACCAGTTTAACTGTTGTATTATAACAGTATTACATGTCAACACAGTGTGGTTATGACCTATTTATATAAAAACCAAATATTTAGTCAATTTACAGTCTTAATTTAATCTTTGTACACCTTGCATTTTTAAAAGTGCTTAAATAGTACTATATTGCAATAAAATGTAGTGATACCATAATTAACCAGCCATTAAAAACTTACTTCTACATACATGGTAGCATGGAGGTGTATGCTACGTTTTCTTGATTCCAGAGTTCTGTCCTAGGACAGCGCTTCCTGTGTCAGCCTACTCAGAGAAGTGTCTCACTGCTTGAATGGGAGATGCCCCTTCCTTCCCTGCATGGGAGCACTGCACTGCCTGGGCTGGTGGCAGTTAAAGGTTTGTGGTGTTCTTGCTATAACTTGCCATAAAGCAAGTTTAGTGAGCAGCACAGAGTCAGGGCACCAGTGGAGCTTACTTGGTGCTCCCTGAAGATGGGCAAAAAAACCTGCCTTCAGTGTGACCATCAGGCTGGACAGCAGTGGCCTGCTACATGAGCTGGCTTAATGACTCTGGTGCTAGGGAACAGCCTTTCTCTTAGAGATGAAAAGCAAAAATCATTGACTGCTGTAAGAAATGCAGGATCCAAAGCAGTAAGTACAACACCGTTCACCTTTTTGTTCACCTTTTTATTCTCTACAAGGGAACTGCATCACGGAGGCAGCTCTCCAAGGCTGGTAGTAGCTCATGCTGTTGTAAATCAGTCTGAAGCAGAGTCACTGCACATGCCCAGCTGTTCCTTAGCTTCCCCTTCAGACAGGGGGAGGGAAGAGAACAGGAAGGTGAGTTCAGGCACTGTATTGTGAAGGTTGGTGCCTCCTGGGGGCTCCTGGCTGGAGCTCCAGAGTGAAGTCACGATGGAGCAGTGAGGAAGAAAAACACCTTTGTTGGCTTGAGAGGCTAACTTCCAATAAAAGTCCTTGGTAGCATCTTCTGAAAAAGCTGTCTTCATACTCACAGTTTAAGCTGTCTTGAGAGCCAACGTCTTCTAAACCTCGCTGCTTTTTGCTTTTTTTCTTGCCCTTAAAAGAATAAAAAGCTGTTAGCAACCATTTTCTTAACCCACCTACTGGAGAAGCAGCTGTCCAGTGATTACTGCAGTAGTTCAGAACAGAACTGACTGGAAAGCTGATAAAACTTTATCATATTTCACATTCAGCAGCTGCTTTCAGCTGGCCCAGGGGCACCAGTCTCCTTCAGGGTCTAGCACTGCTTTCACTTCTGAAACACAAGTAAATGCAGATGCTGCCTATTACAGACCAGTAGTTTTTGCCTGCAGTGCTCACAAGCCTTATGGGCTGCGGTGTGTGGCTGGAACTGAGGTCCCCTGCCTGTCCCCACTCATGTCTCCATCATTTTTTTTTATGCGAAGTAGGTGCTAATTCCCTATCCTCACGTGAAAGCATTTCTAAGTTTTACACATACCTGAAATGACTTCCAACAGCTCAGAGATAAATTTTAACAATTAGTGTTTATCAAGCAAACATGATTCCAGGCCCATACACTGTTTCTTAATGTACCAAAACTCAGGTCATTTTTTCAAGTCGTGTCTTAACATGCCCTTCCTTGAGGAGGGCCCATCTAGCCGGTCAGGCTGCAATAACCTCTTACCCTTCCCTTGCTATCTGCTTCTTTGGAGTTATTAGAAGGTAGCAAGATAGACCCTTCCAACATGGGAAAAGTGTTCTGCTTTTTTAGAGTACTTTAAAACCACCTATGTAAGAAGTGGTACTTACTGTGGCTTTTTATACTCACCCCATGCTTTGTCCACAAACTGAACTGCAGCTTTTTTAACTGGGTTTTTCTTGTTTTCAAGGGAAAAAAAATCGTTTGCTGAAACAGAAATGACTGTTAATTACCAAGTTTAGCCTAGAGAAATCCAGATGCAGACCCACTGAAGGAAAACTGCTTACGCTGTGCCCGGTTGGCATGTGGTCCGTAGAGCTGAGCGTTTATAAAGTCTTTGGCCAGCTGTTGCTGGAGGCCTGTTAAACTCTGGTCTTTTAAGCACACAGCTGTATAGTTTCCTGTTGACCTAGTTAAACAAAAGAGCTGTAAATCCCTGCAGTGTAGCTACAGAACCCAGACAACAGACACACTACTAGCCAGGGCTTTGCTACTTGGGCACAACACTGCCTGTAGTGGTTTCTTGATGCTTAGCCAAGCTTTGTAGCTGTAATTAAGAAAATAACAGACCAAGACCCTCAACCTGTCACCATATGCCTTTATGTGCCTCACACTGTTCCTTGGGAGTCTTGAACCAGTCTCCCCGGGAGCCAGTGCAATTCCTCTACAGGGACAAAGTGACAAAGATAAAAAGGGAAAAGACTGAAAGAGAGGAATATAGCGCTCAACAGCCAGACCTACAGCAGCACAGAATACAATGCCTAGTGCTGCTGTGCTTATGACTGCCCACTTACGTAATAGGTAAAAATTTATATTCTAGATCATATATATATACACACATCTTTTACACACATGCTGTATTAGAAGTATATTAAAAGTGCTTTAGCACATGCTTTCAGAGGAAGAGCAGGGGAAACATCAAATGAAGAAGAGAGCACAGCCATACAGTGACAGAGCAAGAGCTGTGAGACCCCCCTGCACAGGCAGAGGTGCCACATGGGGATGGGGACAGACAGACACCCTGGATCTTCTCCCGGTGTACCTGGTGCGCTTTCTTTGCTTGTCTTTCTTCACCAGCTTTTTGACTTGGCCTTGCCTTTGGACTTGCCCTTGTTTCTGCTTCACAGCCCCACCTCCACGGCGTTTACCTAAGGTAAATTGAATAGAAAATTTCCCAATTAATTATGAATCAAGAGCAGCAAGTGAAAGAGGGACAGGAATGAAACAACTGTTATTAGGCTGCGGAAAATAAGAGGTCTCTAGATAACTCCAGTAGGCATTTTTCAGCAGCTCCGAGCAGAGAGCTAGGAAGCACAGCCATCACAGAAGGGCTGTGAGAGGGAAGAGAAGCAGCACACCTCAGGGGAGCCACCCAAAGTACTGCCAGCCAGCTTTCCCCTTCCTTGGCATACCTTAACTTCCTTAACACCACAAAACAGGATTCATCAGGACAAATACTGAATGCAGCACAACAGCTATGAGTAACAAAGGGGAGTCCAGCCTCAGCTTCATTCTCACCATTAAGTGAAGTACTGTGGCTACTGAGTGTTCAGAGCATTATCCTGAGCTCATCTTTTGTTTATGCCAATTTTTTTAAAACAATAGTAAAAGGAAGAAGAAGTAGCAGTTGCAGCTCCCAGCTATGTAACTATGTGAGTACACATGAAAAGAGTTGTTTAAAAACAACCCAACGCTTAAAAGTATTTTGAAGTACAGGTGAAGAGCGCAACAAAACAGTGGTCAGGAATACTCCAGATGTTTGATTTCCTAGATCAGAAGTTGAAAAAAAGTTACCTGATTTTTTTACAGATGCTGTTAAATCATAGTATGATATATAAAGAACTATCAATGTGATGAACAACTCCATACAGGAACAGCCTTTATAACTGAAATGCTAAATATTCATCTCCCTCTGGTAATACTTGCTTCTTCTGTAACACCTGCCTGCTACCTCCTAAACACCACGGGCTATTTTAACTGAAACCATTGTACACCAAACAACTTATGTAAACAGCGCAGGAATCAGATTAAATACGACTTTTTTTCCACGTTTTCGGTTGCCAGCACCGTTCTGCCTGTCCAGCCTCTTCACATTTCAGACTTTAAGAGGCGCTTCTCCTGCTGCAGCTCTAACACTAAAACAAAGTTCCGAGGTGCCTGGCAGTGCACGAAGGTAGGAGGACAGGCACTAATATACCTGGGTTAGCTGCCGCAGCCTTCTTCTCGGGTCTGTGGAGGAGACAAGGCAACGTGTTACTCCTCCAGCCCACCCTTAGAGCCCCCTCAAGCCCCATTTCCACCCTGTCCTCCCCCTAACGCCAGGAGCCGGCGGGGCCACACCATGGGCCGGCACCCCAGCACCCACCCACCGCCTCACGTCGCCGCTCACCGTGCGGGCGGCGCAGCGGCCAGCTCCTGCAGCACGGCCTCGGGGAGCAGCTTTCGCTTCTGCGGGGAGAAGGGAGTTGTTAGCGGGGAGGGGAGGGGCTGCCGCCCGAGGGCTGCGGGCGAGGGGCGCGCGGTACCTTCTGCTCCGCAAACAACTCCTGGCGCCGCCGCCGCTTCTCCTTCAGCAGCTCCCGGTGCCTGCGGGGAGGCGGGAGGCGCCGTCAGTACGGGCTCAGGGTGGGGAACGGAGGGGGACGGCGATACCTGGGAATGGGAAGAGATGAGGCCTCGCGCGGGAACGTCGGTACCTCCGGGCCGCCTCCCCCACGAGCTTCCGTTCGGCCTCGGCCGCCTCCTTCGCCACGCCAAAGGACACCTCCTCCGGGGCCTCGTCCGCCTCATCCTCCGAGGAGGACGGGCCCAGGGCGGCGGGGGGAACCCCGCTCCTGCCCGCGGCACCCTTCACCCGCCGCGCCATGGGCCCTACACCGCCCGCGTGACCCCCACCCCGGAAGCGCTCCCTGCTGCACGCGGCTCCGCCCCTCCCCCTCCAGCCGCGCACGCGCACACACAGACGAGCCGCTGAGGTACGACCGGCAGCGGCGGGCCCGGCCTTGCGTTTATTGCGGTGGGGAGCAGGGGAGGGGCAGGACGGCGCCACCCGCCGCCGCCTCCCACCCGTACCAGCCCCCGCCGCGACCGCCAGGCTTGGCGCTTCCCCGGCGGGCGCTCCGAGGCGCTCAAGAGGTGATCTCCGTCTCGTGGCGAGCCAGCGCCGGCGGCAGAGTGGTCCCGCAGGGGCCCGAAAAGTGGAACCTGTAAGGAAGCGGCGGCTGAAGGGGCAGGCACGACCGGCGTCACGGTGCGTGCTTCTGGCAGCCCGGGTGCGTGTGACGGGCAGGTAGCGAGTTAGCCCCGCTGCTGAGGGAGGGGGACTTCGAGGACACAGGGACAAACTTCTGCTTCACACTCAGAAACATACAGGTGTGTCTTCATTGATTGGTTTGGGTGGGAAGGGACCTTAAAGCTCATCCAGTTCCAAACCCCTGCCCCACCACCTTCCACTAGAGCAGGTTGCTCAAAGCCAGGTCCAAGCTAGCCTTGAGTGCTGCCTGGGATGGGGCAGTCACAACTGCTCTGTTAAGAAGTGCAAGAACTTCCTTCAGTGTTAATTCTACCAAGAAAGAGCAACTGCCTCTTCTTACTTATTAGAACAAAACAGTATTTCTTAAACATAGGGGAAAAAACCTAGATCATGTTTGTTTAAAATTTTGCCAAGCATTTTAGCAGTTCAGAGCAAAAGAGTGAAGATGCAGGCGACTAAAGTTTGCTAGTTTAAAACTGGACAGCTTTACCTGAATCTGTCTGTAGCAGGAGTAGCTTCCATGTTAAACTCTGCAACTGGCACTCCTCTAGCAGATACCTGTGGGGCAAACATTGCAGCAGGATACACCACAGAGGAGGTTCCAACCTGCAGGCACAGGGTGAAAAACGAGTGTAGCAGGCCAGCAGTTAAACAGGCAAAACCAAACCAACCCACGAGGCAAGGACCCTTCTCAGAACACTAGATGTGCAAAACCACTAAAGCATGAAGATCCCTACCAAAATGAAGCCAAATCAGTATCTATTTAGTGTCACTGTACATGTAGCAGAATTGGGAGTGGTTTCTCTGATGTAACCCAAAGAAACCTGTTTGCAGATTATAACTGGAAAGACCTTGTATTCAGGAAAACAAAACAAGATGTTCCTTCTCTTAGTTGGGGTTAGTCTGTGAAGGGTACACAATATTCTAAGTAAGCATTTGGGTCAGTGAGCTGGAACCAGTGAGCATGTAAACCACCTCACAAAAGAAGGCAGCCTGTGATAACAGCTGGCTACCTTCTTACCACATTTTGTCACTTTTTTCTTAGCTGAGCCTCAAAATAATCGTAATTTTCACTGTTTGAGAAATTCAACAGCCAAACAGTATTACTGAACCTCTAACACTTGAACCTCTAACCCCTGTGTGTGTACTGAATGCAGATGGCAGATGCCAGCTGAGCACAATGCACACATGCTGAATCTGCTGATTTCCGAGTAGTGTATGTACGTTTTCAGACTTCATGGCCTTTGAAAGTTTCGCACTTGACACCAGAGAATCCTCAGGGGCTTTCAGTTTCCTCAGGGAAACGTGCATGCAACCCCTTTACCCAGGTGGTGCAACCCCTTTAGTGTGGCTTCCCCGTTGGTTGAGAGGCCAGGTAACAAGTGCGTCACTCACTACCAAGCAGAGGTCACAAATATCAAGCTCCTTCTCCACCTCAGTGAGAATGTCGGGATCCAGGGTTTCACCAAACCATACAACATGGGGACGGAGGAGCCCATTGCAGCCGTCCTCCTCGCACCTGTTTGAAAAAGGAAGAAGGTCGCACATGGTTGTTTTCATTCTCATTTGGGCATATCTGACCTACCTTCCATCCTCCACTTCTCTCTTTCACAGCCCTCCCCACACCCTCCTCTACTGTGAGCTGGGCAGAGGACAGCTGATGCTGTGCCACATGTATGCTGGAAATACACACGTGCTGCCTGGCCAGGTGGAACATGTTGCTGAACAGTTGTGCAACCCAAATATTTAGTAGTGTCAGCCCCCTGCTCAGTGCCTGGAATGCATGAAACTTGAAACATAGTATGTGCTACGGACCTCAGCCTCCATCGACTTTAACAAACTGGCCAATGGGTTTTTAAGGAGAAAGTGAACTGACAGACATATTGTGTTAGCTTCCTTTCCTTAGGAACCAGATGAAAAACATGGTGGTCTCTTGCATCTGTAGCCGTTATAAAAGAGCACCATGGCACATTTAAAGCCTGCAAAGGACTATGCTGTGGCCGTGCCACAGCACAGTGCTCCAGATTGACTAATGGCAGGCAGCACCCACAAAGCAGCAAAATGTTTACTGTGTAGCACTTAGTGTCTTACTTCAATTCTACTATGACTCCACTTACTACAAGCCCCATGAATTTAGGCATGTTTCAGCTTGGTGCTCAAGTACACAAACATGCCATGCCTTTCACATCACAGTAAACTTCCAGTGTACACTCCTGTTCTCTGCTGTCTCCCCTAACTGTTCTCTGAGGAACAGTCACACCTTTTTCTCCTGGAGAAAGTCTCCATGTCCTTCCAAAACTACATGAACAGTAATGTAAGCCTCTGAGATGCACAACAAAGCATAAAGAGGTAACAGCAAAACACAAATTAGTCCTCACGTACTGAGGAAGCTCTTCAACTGGAATCGCGGCATCCTCTGTGTCAGGATCTGGGGCCCTGAAGTTACAAAATCGCAATACATATTCAGCCATACAAAGTGCATTTTGTACATTAATAAAAACTCAGTATTCTCTAAAGCACACTCTCCAATCAAGAAATCTTTGCAACTTCAGCCAACTTCAACACCTACCACAACCCTACCATACCACACACAGGGGAAGCAGGTGTTTATCCAGGATTATCCCAGAGGTAAGCAACTGTCCTAAGCTGTTCAAACTCTGACAGAGGCACAACAAACATTTAAGTAACTACCTAAAGGTCTGGTGAAATACAAAGGGAAAATACCTAAAAATCTATGACCATATGCCTCTCCTCTTTTTTTTTGAGAGGTGAAAGCAAGGGGATGGCTAGAAAAAGGCGACTGAAAGATTTTTCTGCAACTTTTCAAGTTACAGAAATCCTGGGAACTGACACCTCCCTCCCAGTTGTTTATTACATCTCTATTTTGAGGCCTGTAATAATGAGAATCTTACTGAGGAGCCGAAGGACAAAAGCTGCTAGGTGCTAGACAAAGAAGAGGACAATACATGTATCGAGTGATGGTAGTTCAATTTCAGGAATAAGCACCTGATTTAATAAAAAACCTGGGGAGGTGAAGAGGATGGCAGAAAATCCACATTCTCAAAGAGTACAATTAGCTGATGTCCAAAATAAGAGTTTCAGACCATCTGAAATTCTTCTAATTAAAACATACTTAGCATTGTGCTAACAGTTATTCTTTCACAGGACTTACAACATCATGGGCTCTCACTGAAGTTACTGAACAGCACACTCATGGTTCCAAACAGCTGTGTAAAATTTAAGTCTGAATACTACTGATGTAAAACAGGCTGGGCAGCCAAACTCCTGTATGCTCCTAAACTGGCTCCTTTCCTACTGAACAGCAGACAAAGTAGAAAATGCATTTTACAAGCAGATGTATTAATTACCCTTTCCCAGCCAACGCGGGGCATATTGGACTCTTGTAATTTGCAGCTACGTTTCCACAGTTGGTGCATCGAGTTTTAAATAAACTACCTGAAACACACCAAGAGAAAACATCAGGGATCGAACAACTCGTCTGGGTCATGGCTGTGTGAGCAAGTGGTTGTGTTTATCCTGTATGGCCTTTATTTGACTTTGAAGACTACACCTCGTGAGTAACTTGGGTAACAACAGCCAAGTGTTGAAACCTGTCAGCATTATGAAGGAGATGATTTACACAGTGCAAACACATGCTTTTGTTCAGCAACCCAAGGTGACCAGTGCCACTGTTAAACACAGGCCAGACCCAGCAAAGAGACACAACACAGTCCCTTCAGCTGAAAGGAAACAGAGAAGAGCAGCAACAGTCCCTTTATGACTCAATCAAAATTAAACTATGCCCAATGCATATAAAGTACCCAAAACAACTTCCAAAAGAGAACATGGTGTTACAGTAAATAACTTTGTGCAAGTTATTACCATTTTAATGACAAGTTTCTTTTCTCCCAGTACTTATCCGGCTCTCTCTTCTTCCCCCGGGTTTGCTGGCCCATAAGCAGACAGGTAAGCTGATTCTTACCGTGGATTTCTAAGAGGTGCTTTGTGCCTGCCTTTCTGTGTAGTTCATCAATATTCTGAGTAATGACCACAACGCTCCGTCCTTGCTTGCTCAGTCGCTTTTCGCACTCTGCAATGGCAATATGTGCAGGGTTCGGGTGTTTACTCAACATCACCTCCCGGCGGTAGTGGTAAAACTCCCACACACGAGAAGGGTTTCGTGCAAAAGCCTCTGGAGTAGCCAGCTCCTGGAAAAGACACGACAAGTCTTGCTACCAACGAAAGCGCAAGAAAATGCCCTCCCCAGATGAAACCAGCTAGATTCCTGCCACTTACACTGCTCCCAGGACAAGATTATCAGAAGCAAATTATTTATAACCAGATGCAGTTGATGAAAATATACTTCAATAGCCCTTATAGGGATGACAAGTCCAATTATCTTATCAAATGAGGAAATAACCAGTATCAACAGTGTGGTACATGGTTTTACACAGTACACCTGTGCTGCCCCACCAAATTAGACTGTAGTGCAGCACAAAGAAAGATATTTCAATGCACACAACTTTTAGGGTTCAAAACTCTTTTTCACAGCAGCCATAAAACTCAACATTACGTGGATATATTTCCTTTGCTAGCAACTTCTTTGTGTAACACAAGCCAAATTATAGCCATTGTCAAAACCAAAGTCTAATGTCTTAGATTTTACCAACATGTAAAAGACAAGCTGTACTTTTCACAGTAATTTTAACTTTGCCTTATCTTCTTTTTAAAATAAGGAGTATCTCAGTCTAATGCTGCAACATGCAATTCTGCTGATATAAAAATGCTGAATGCAAGATTTCTGCTGCAGAAGAACCAGGCATTTATACACATGCATGCTTCATTTGAATTGATAGTCACTGAAAGGAAAAAATGCATCTTTAGATTCAAACCATCTTGAAAAACTCGCATCTCTGACCCCTTTTTAACCTCATCAAATCTTTCATGAGTGCTGCATTAAGAAACGTAAAGAAAGCCAACAAGATAGCAACATTTGAGGCAGCATTTACTGACAGTGTGGCAGTTATATGAAACACCTGCACCAGCATGCAGGATCAGACTCCTGAGGCACCCATGCAACTCACACAGGTGCTCGCCACTGCACCCCTCCACCCCACAGCATCTGCTTTGGCCTCCTCTCCCACCCCAGTGCCTCCCGATGCCGCAAGGTCACACCAGCAAGAGACAAAGCTTGTGGGAGAGTTAAAGACTGTGAAGAACAGTGCCCCCAAACAATAAAAAACATCCTAAAACATTTTTAAAGAGTATAATAAACCAAAATTCAATGAAAAACAACTAGTCACTGTCACTGGTTCTGTCCTTTGTTATTTTGGCAAAACGTTCTTAAGTTTAAAACAGGAAGTAGGAAATGAGGTAGGAAAACAGTGAGAGTGTTGAAAGATGATCACACAGCTAAGCTGCAAGGCAACAAGGAAACAAGGATGGAGAAAGACCCAGAGAGAACACTGATTTTCCCAAATAACTGATAAGGACAGAGAAGCAGCTGCAGCTGCAGACAGGGGTGTAAAGGGACAGCTCTGGGGAGTACTTCCACCCTCCAAGGTGCCCAGCTTCTCCGGACCCTTCACTATCACCCACCCAAGAGGCATTCCACCGGAGCTGCGCAGACAGTGCCACCAGTACATACCTGGGCTTGCCACTTCCTCCAGAAACCTCCAGCCCCTCTGAAGGTCGGGACCCCACTCTCTGCACTAACGCCAGCTCCTGTGATGATGACTATGTGCTTTGCTTTGGCAAACACCTCTCGAAAATCAGCCATATCTATGTGCAGGGAGCAAAAACAAACAGCTGCTCAAATGCTTGTACTTTTATTTAAGAAGCCGTAGAGACAGGACTGGCAAACTTACACATCTAGAGATGGGTTCCACCCAGTACACCTCCCAGTACTTTAAGTGCAGAATACTAACTTGTTTCTGAGTTTTTCCGTATAAGAATTTGAAGGGAAATTCCTAGAGATTCTCAAAAACACGTATGAGCAAGCCTGGGAGGGCAATAGGTATTAAACTATGAATACACTCAGTATTTGAAAGACAGAGCCTTAAACTAAAACCACGCAGTTAGTGCTACCTTGATTAACAACTGTTGCCACAGTCACCCAGGAACTGTTCGCTTCCTCATTGTAAGGCACGATCCCAAGATGGAAAAAAATCTACACTTAGTTACAAAGTATCACCTTCAAAATTAAAGGCATTTGGAAAAAAGCTTTTCCTGCTGAGGCATCTTGGTAATTTTCTAGGTTTGCAACTGTATTTTCTATTTTCGAATGCACATTCCCCCACTTTGCCTCTGCAAGGTAAAGTCCCTTGGGAAAGAAGATGGGAAATTTCCTTTGCATTTTTCTATGGGTCAAAACAACATTAAAAAATAACAGGTTAGTTACAGAGAGACAAAAAAAAATCTCTTCCAGCTTACCTCAGATATTAATTTTAAAGCAACATATTTTAGAATCAAAGAAAAGCTGAGGTGAGAAGGGACCTCTGGAGACTGTCCAACACCCTGCTCAAACAGGGTCAGGCATAGCAGGACCATGTCCAGTCCGGTGGGGTTTGATTGCCCCCCAGGATGGAGACTATAACCTCTCTGCACAACCCATTCCCATGTTTGACCACCCTCATAGCAAAAAGCAGTGTTTCCTTGTGTTCGAATGGATCTTGTGTGCTTTGTGTCCCTTATCTCATGTCCTGCCACTGGGCAGTACTTGAGAAGAGTCCAGCTTTGTCTTCACTCCCTCCCATCACATGTTTTTATGCACTGATAAGATGCTCCTGAGCCTGGTGTCCTAAAGCCTGAGCAGCCCTGGCTCCCCACAGCCTCTCCTCACATTTCAGATGCTCGAAGCCATTAATCATCTTCAAAGCCCTTTGATGGACTCTCTCCAGTTTGCCAACGTCTTTGTCACACTGGGGCACCCAGCATTGGATCTAGCCTTCCAGGTGTGTCTGACCATGCTGAGCAGAAGGCAAGGATCACCTCCCACAGCCAGATGGAGATGCTCTGCTGAGTACATCCCAAGACACCCACTGGCCTGTGTTGCCCCAAGGGCTTTTCGCTGGCTCACAGTCAATTTGGTGCCCATCAGGACCCTTCAGAGCCTCTTCCACCAAGCTGCTTTCCCACTGATCAACACCAAACTGTCCTGGTGCTTAAGATTGTTTCAATGCAGGACTTGGCATTTCCACTTGCCAACCTTCATGAGGTTTATGTTAGCCCATGTTTCCAGGCTGTTGATGTCCCCCTGGATTAACAGCATGACTCTCTGGTGACAGCCACTCCTTCTAGTTTGGTACCATCCCCAAACTTGCTGAGGGTACACTGCCCCATCATCCAGATTGCTAATGAAGGTGTTAAATAATATTTGCAAGATTCCTACAGTACACCACTAATGACAGGCCTTCAGCTGAACTTTGAACTGCTGATCAGAACCCTAATCTTCATGATTTACTCTGTGTTCTTCGGAGGTTTTTGTTAGGGGGGTTACCATGATAATTGTGAAGTTCTGTGCACAGTTTCAAGTTAAGGCACATCCTTAGCTTAAAAAACAAACACAACCCCCCCGCCAAGAAAATAAAAAGAGGATATTTACTACTACCAGACTGAACAAGGCTATTAGGGTTGCCCAATACCCTGCTCCTGAGTAGCTACAAATGATTGAGGGCCTCCATAATTCTTGTGCAAAGAAACAAGGAATGATTTTTATTACCTGCTAGGATTATGAAAAGGAACTGCAATTAACCAACATATGTTTGTGTGCATAAATTATAAATGCTAAAACCATGTTGCCAGGAAATCACACTGACTCAACTATGCAAGGATTTGGGGAACTATACAGAATACAGACATAAAAGATGAATTTTAGCAGCCAGGGAGGGGGGAGATAGGAGAGGAAACGAAGTTCAAGCTGTTCTAAGCATTCTGAACTAAGCTATAGATGACACCTATTACACAAAACCTTCCACGATTTAAAATCTAGCTTAAAAACCTGTCCAGGGTACACAAGGAAACACATTAATGTCTTACTTGAACTAGGACGAGCCATTTCCATGCAAAACTTAGGTTTCTTTGAAGAAGAAGCCTTAAGTCCACAATACACTTGGGAAGCCAGCCTTCTAGCGGTAAATTGAAAGAGACTCATCAGCATCCCTCTTAAGTACTTCACCTGAGGAGAAATAAGGGGAACACAAGCGGCCCACTGAGGGAGGGTATTTCTGCAAGGGTTTCTCCGTAAAAAAACAGGTACAAAGATTATTCATCGCAGTTTTCTCTTGCACCTTCCCTTCCTTGCTCTGCAAACCCCAGACACCTCAAATAAGCGATCCTGACAATGGGATGATCTTTCGCTTCCAGTTAAGAACCCAAGAAGTTCATTCTGCTCAAAGAACAAATTCGCTAAAGCCCCAAAACACACCGCCGCGGGTTTTCTACAACATTTAACTTGCCGATTTTGCCGTCTCACGCCAAAGCAGCTCCCACGATCCGACCGTCAACCGCGTTTTAAGAATACAAAACCAACCCCGACAGGCGCTTTGCTACGCAGGCTTCACCCGGGGACGGAGCAGCGGCAGCAGCCCCAGCGGGCAGCATGCGTACGTGCTGATGCCCGCCTGCAACAGGGCGAAGGCGAACCGCCCCGGGGGACGGAGTCGCGTCGGGAAGGAGGCGGCGGTGGCCGCCATTGCCGCCGCCGCCGCCGCCGCCGCCACCTCCCCCTCGGCGCGGAGGCCCTGGGCCGCAGGTTCTCCCCGCGCCGGAAGCCCTTACCTCAGCGCGGTGACCCGCCGCGGCTGTGCGGCCGAGCCGTGCGGCGCCGCGAGTCCCGCCCCAGGTTTGCGGCGGGGCCGGCCCTCGCTCAGCTCCGCCCTCGCCCTTTCCCTGTGGAACAGCTGACAGAGCTCCCGCCCGGCCACAAGCGTGTGGGGCCGATGGGGAAGGATGGAGCCCGGCCTCAACTCCTGCGGCAGCGCGGCCCTCTCACAACGCTTCCCTACTCCGACGTCTCACGTAGATTAAGTTATGCTTAATAACCTGGATGTGCAGTTCACACATTCACTGACCAAACTTCCATATGCTGCTATGCTACCACAGCTTGGATAGCTTAGAGTCTCCACAGTGTTTATGAGGAAGTATGGTTTTAGCTTGTTTTTCTGCAGAAACAAGACACCAACCACTTTTATCCAGCCTTCTCTTCACCCTTCCCCAACAACTTTAAATGCCTCTCGTCCTTTTCAGTCAATCTGAGATTTTACACATTTTTGTCCCTTTGAATGCCTTAAACTACCGGCTAAACAGATGAAGAGGTCCCTAAAATGCATATCCTGACATGGGGAGGGCTGAAAAGCATGTACTGCAGTCCCACCTAGCCCCTGCCGCTGACCTGGCCTCTCTGTACAGTTACCCACAGACAGAGAAGGATACCCAGAGGCTGCTCCTGCGCTTCTTTCATTACACTGCTGCTTCTTACTGCTTATGTCATGGCAGGATGCAATATGCCACCTCCAGTTGCAAACATGAAGGAAGACAGTTGCCAGGGAACATTCAAGATGGAACAGTACCAATTAAACCCTGTGCTCACGCTCACTGGGCTGTACCAGCTGCTCTCCCAGAGCTCTGGCTGAACCCACACAATGCATGTATGCTTGAAAAAACACGTAAATTCAGAAAACCAAGAGGAAGGCCAGCATGATCTTACCATTATAATTATCATGATAGTAATCAGGCAACACTGAGGTGGCAGGTTTGTTCCGGCAGGTCAGATGGAGGAGGGATGGGCTCTGCTCTATGTTATGCAGTGTTATAACTGGGGTTGGCTTGTTTTTTTTAGATTGAAGTCTTAGTATGGATTGTACACCCTGCATCTTAGACAGTGTACTTCAGATGCTGATTAATAGTAAAATAAACCAACCCCAAACCCAACAAACCAACAACGAAAATCAATTTGCAGTTGGATTATCACCACAGTTTTCTTCCACTAATTACAAAGTTCAAGACAGCAAACTACTAGTCTAACATTACTAACATTAGTGCTTCTGTTCACGCACCACAGCTTTGAGGAGCATATCAACTAAAATGCTTGCATTTTCACATTACCCCATTGCATTTGTTAGATATCCCCTTTCTAACTTTAAATTAACTAAGGGCAGAGCATGTTAATATGTAATGTTTGCAAAAGTACAGGTCTTTTAATAATAAGTCATGATAGCACAAGTTACGCAAAATGGGTACAGCATGAAAGGAGGCTTGCTTTGGTTTCCTTGGCATGTGTAGATTGTATACCCCAAGCAGTATAATCATCCCAGTGTTTCCAAAGCAATCCATCACTCATTCTGTATTCAGAAAGGTCTGAAACCATGGAAAGCCTAGCTCAGCTGATGCTAACCTGGTGTGAACACTGAATCTTTGCTATCGGAAAATGGCCACATCAACTCTCAAAGATGTTTGTAGTGGTCTTGGACAAATATGTTTATGCAAATGTGTGAAAAATGCACGTTTTCTGAAAAGCTTTATAAAAAGATTAAAGTGACATCTAAAATTGATTTCAAGCAGTGGTGTTGGGTGTAGACACCTGGTAGTGTTCTATGATCATCTGTGCTTGATAAAATACTTCTGCACAAGTCTTTTGTATTACAGCAATTTCCTCCAGCAGAGGTATTGTTAATGCAACTCTAGGTGGACACCAGAAGTATTAAATGTTCTGCAGAGACAGTCATATCACCAAAATCAATTAACATGTAAGAATCATGTAAGGCTCAGAAGAGCCAAAAGCGATGTCAAGGGCAAGCACGCTATCTCCCCCTCTCCTTTCACTCCTCCCCCAGCACATTACCCTCCTAGCTGCCAACTGCTTTCTACTCAGCAGAGGCATTGACATATTTAGCCACAAGGCTGTCCAATCCACCTCCCAGGAGCTTGTCCCGTGTCCCCTTGACCCACATAATGTCATTCTCTGGCAGAAGCTCCCCAACTCTGCTCCTCCTCCTATGAAGGACAGGGAAAACAGCAGGTGACCTGTATCTACAGGGGCTGCTATTCTCCTCTTAGGCTGCACAAACTGGTCAGTGTGGAAACAGATGAATAACCAGCACCCAGTCTTCTACTCCAGTCATATCATTCTCCAGCACTTTTACAAATGACTTTACATCTTAGCACCTCCAGCTAGAAACAGTGTGCTATTTGACCACGAGACCTCACTGTACCAAACACAGGCAAGGCATTTTTTTTTTAAATCCCAAGTAAACAGTCTGTATTCTAACACACAGTAGGTCTGTACCAATTAAATACAGTATGGCAGTATATAAATTACAGTTCTTTACAGTAAATAGTAAAATACAAGAGTCCGCTTACTGTACACAACAATCAAAGAAAGAACAGCAGCTTTTCAGTAAGGTCCCAGGTATCTCAATCATTCACTTGCTAAGAAACAAAGAACAGATACAGCAGGCCATTCACTTCACTCCTTTTTTACCGTGTTACTTTACAAATAGCCACAACACTTGTACAGGCATCTACAGTATCTACATGTGGAACAACCTTTTTAGGAATTCATGAGCACCAGACATAAATCCCTCCATCATTCCCAATATTAAAATAAACTTTACAGATTAAAATTACTTTAGCAGGTTCTATTTCAGCTTGATAATAACCAGCAAGTAACAAGTGCAAAGTTTGCAGTCATGATCCATTTACTGCTTCTTTGTTTCCCCATCCCCCCCCCACAAATAAACCAACCCCCTCCTCCCCCAAAAAGCCCAAATGTTGTCCTCTCACACCCTTGCAGTAATACTGTTCCTGCAGTCAAACTGCCCAGCTGGCTTATGTGAACATATGAAATGCCAGACATGTAGCCTCAGGCATTGTTAGTCATTTCAATCCAACGCCAAGTCAGCACAGTGGCAGGCCTCTAGGAAGACAAAAAATACGAAGCAGTTGGACATTTCAGTGTGCTTAAACACGGAACGTAAGGCTGCACGGTGCCCGGTGACTAAAAGAAGCATGGCACCATGTTACCAGTTAAAACATTTACAATAGAAAGATAGAAACAGTAAATGTGTCAGTCTAAAACAAGTTCTTTGGTAATTAAGAACAGCAAACCATAGCTTCCCCCCCACCCAAATATGGATTTACATCCTGCTTTTTCCACAATAAAATATTTTTTGTTGTTTAAAATATATCTTCCAAGTTGTTGTGTATCAAACAGTCCAGTACCTCAGTTATCTACAGGTCAGCTTTAACTGTATTTTAGTGTGCAGCCATATCTGCCCACTGGCAGAAAAACTATAGATACACAATCATATATATATATAATATATATATTATTTATAAAAAATTAGAGAATTAAGTCAAGGACTCTAGAGAATACACATTCCATATGGACAGATTAAAATGTACAATAGCTTCAAAAATCCATAAAGTTTTCTACACAGTGATGCGTGTAGTAAGTGCAAAAATACTGCAGTTTAGTTAATCCAAGATTTTCTGTTCTCCTGTTTCCTAGAAAAAGCAGAAGCTGCTGCATCTCCCGAATGGCAGAGGACCTCTCCTCCTGTTTTAGGAGTGGGTGATGAGCCTTGAAGAGCAGAACTTCTCTGTTTATCTGAAGTGGAAGGTGCCTGAGACCGTGAAGTGCTACTCCATTTCCTTACGGAAGCTGGTGCTTTGCTGAGGCGCCCAGGACGAACAAAGACACCGTGTCGTGGTTTGCAGTGAAAGTACTCTCTGCCTTTTACAATTCCATCATGCTTCCCTTCAATGAAAACAAATGCATGGAATTAGTTGTTGGTGTTTGGTTTAGCATGTACAATTGCAGCCTCGAAGTGCAAAGACCCTTGGTTATAGAATCACAGAATAGTTAGGGTTGGAAACGACCTTAAGATCATCTAGTCCCAACCCCCCTGCCCTCACACTAAGCCATCTCACCCAAGGCGCTGTCCAACCTGGCCTTGAACACTGCCAGGGATGGAGCATTCATAACTTCCTTGGGCAACCCATTCCAGTGCCTCACCACCCTTACAGTAAATAACTTCCTCCTTATATCCAAACTAAACTTTCCCCGTTTAAGTTTTAACCCATTACCCCTTGTCCTATCGCTACAGTCTCTAATGAAGAGTTCCTCCCCGGCACCCCTATAGGCCCCTTTCAGATACTGGAAGGCTGCTACGAGATCTCCACAGAGCCTTCTCTTCTCCAGGCTGAACAGCCCCAGCTTTCTCAGCCTGTCTTCATAGGGGAGGTGCTCCAGTCCCCTGATCATCCTCGTGGCCTCCTCTGGACTTGTTCCAACAGTTCCATGTCCTTTTATGTTGAGGACACCAGAACTGCACACAATACTCCAGGTGAGGTCTCACAAGAGCAGAGCAGAGGGGCAGGATCACCTCCTTTGACCTGCTGGTCACGCTCCTTTTGTTAAGTTTCTCATCAACCCACATCTCCAAGTCCTTCTCTGCAGGGCTGCTCTGAATCTCATCTTTGCCCAACCTGTAGCTGTGCCTGGGATTGCTCCAACCCAGGTGTAGGACCTTGCACTTGGCATGGGCATCAGCCCACCTCACAAGCGTGTCGAGGTCCCTCTGGGTGGCATTCCTTCCCTCCAGGGTATCAACAGAACCACACAGCTTGGTGTCATCGGCAAACTGGCTGAGGGCGCACTCAATCCCACTGTCCATGTCAGTGACAAAGATGTTGAACGACACCAGTCCCAACACCGATCCCTGAGGGACACCACTCATTCCTGATCTCCAGCTGGACATTGAGCCATTGACCACAACTCTTTGTGTGTGGCCATCCAGCCAGTTCTTTATCCACCGAGTGGTCCATCCATCAAATTGATGTCTCTCCAATTTAGAGACAAGGATGTCGTGTGGGACAGTGTCAAACGCTTTGCACAAGTC